TTAATTTTAATTTTCTTGCTATAAAAGTGCGACAGTATAATACACTTCTTTGTTTTAAACTCTAGTCAACTAGTCTAGAGAAATAAGACAAAGAAACACCTGAGAGACATTTGAAACAGTATAAAACACCTGTCAGTTGATTTATACCTGCAAAATGATTTCACATCAAAGCTTTCAGCTAGCTACTTGGCCATTATGTTATCTTATTAGGCTATAATTCATATATAAGGGTATTCAAATGCTTTCAAAACATTCATTTTCTATTTGATGCTTTATTTAGTGAATAGATATGATGTTTAGTATTAATTAAGTTTTATATCTGTACTGTATGGCTCTGGATATGAAATGTAAACTGTTTCGTGCTGAATAGCCAAGCTTATGAGATTGATTGTATTGTAATTAAAATTTCACTTCAATTAGACCAACCAGGTGGAACTCGAATGTGTTGCCAAATTTTCAGTTCAACCACAGACCGACAAATTTTACTTATTAGAAGCTTACTTTTAGATTTGAATTAAAACATTGTTACCTTATTTAAATTTGATTTGACTTAAACATAGCTACTTTTAAGATTTGACTGAAACATTGTTACTTTTTAGATTTGACTGAAACATTGTTACTTTTTAGATTTGACTGAAACATTGTTACTTTTTAGATTTCATTTAAACATTGTTACTTTTTAGATTTGACGTCAACATTGTTACTTTTTAGATTTGACTTAAACATTGTTACTTTTAAGATTTGACTGAAACATTGTTACTTTTTAGATTTGACTTAAACATTGTTACTTTTAAGAATTGACTGAAACATTGCTACTTTTAAGATTTGACTGAAACATTGTTACTTTTTAGATTTGACTGAAACATTGTTACTTTTTAGATTTGACTTAAACATTGTTACTTTTAAGATTTGACTGAAACATTGTTACTTTTTAGATTTGACTTAAACATTGTTACTTTTAAGATTTGAATTTGACTTAAACATTACTACTTTTAAGATTTGAATGAAACATTGCTACTTTTAAGATTTGACTAAAACATTGTTACTTTTAAGATTTGACTGAAACATTGTTACTTTTTAGATTTGACTTAGACATTGTTACTTTTAAGATTTGATTGCAACGTTGCTACTCTTTAGATTTGACTAAAACATTGTTACTTTTAAGATTTGACTGAAACATTGTTACTTTTTAGATTTGACTTAAACATTGTTACTTTTAAGATTTGATTGCAACGTTGCTACTCTTTAGATTTGACAGAAAAATTGTTACTTTTAAGATTTGACTTAAACATTGTTACTGTTTAGATTAGACTTAAACGTTGTAATTTTTTAAATCGGATTTATACATTGTTTGCATTTGCATTTCTGTGTTAAAAATGTAGCCCCTCCATTCTTCTTATTGACTTCAAATGTACAGTGGTAAATTCAGTATTTAGAGCAGAATGATGAGATTTTAGCAAATTTTCTGTAACTTTAGTTATTGAAGAATCTGCAGTGATCCACACCCTCTTACTTGTAAGAAATATCTGATGTCGAGTAGTCTTATTCAAGAGTTCTCAATGATATTTTTACTAGCTTGCAATTGACAACCAGTTTCTATTCCTGCATTGTATGACTCCTTTGACAATTGGAGTTGACGCAAATCTTGTAGAAATTCGTCAGCTGTCATCGTTCACAGACTACTGTTACTATTCAACACAATTTCTTCTTATGAATGCCGACTATTTTCATTGCCTGCGAGGTCAGAACTTGTGAAAGTCTGTCCAAACAACATTTGTAGAGTTTTTCCCCCTTTGCGCTGAATGAAATCACTTATCGATTGTGATTCTTCCCAAGCATCCTTCCAACTTGTGAAATGATGAAAAAAGAAATCTATAAATCTATCAGGGAGAAGAAAGGGTGCAAATATAGTAAGAAGAGAAAAGCTTGTTTGTTATTGTCTTAACCATGGGAGCCAAATCAGATGGCTGTAGCATAAGACCGCAGGCTGAACTGCTTAACGTACAGTTAGAATTCTACCCGTGGCTTAAATGCCCACGGAATTCGTTCATGTCACGCAGCGGACTATTGGTAAATCAACCAACAGCCAATACAGTTTGTTTAAAGAAATTTGATTCCTTCAAAGGATTTTCGCTTAATTGATTCTCTGTTTAATTATTTCCCAATTCTACAAGACAATATGCTTTCCAAGTTTGGCTAATATTTGGAAACACTGCATTAATAAATTGGTTCTTCGCATTTTCGCTTGGTAGCGGCAACATTTGAATCAATAGATCAAATAGAATGCTTGTCTTTATCCTGTCATTAGATTTATATCAACATTAACTGTATAGAAACTTGTTTTATTGGTCATTTGTAGTGTTTTATGATATCAAAATCAACTTTTGGTCCTTTCCATCCCTTCGTTGTCAGAGAATTACATTGGGAAATATGGTCTGGCATAAAAATATGCACCCATCGTAACATTAGCATGATGTATGTTAAAAAAAATATTGCGAAATATAGGTATTATTTTTGATTTGTACCAATTATGGAAAAAAAATTCTTTATGTGAATTATATATTATTGATTAGGATAACCAATTTTTATCTGTAACATCTTTTTATGACAACGTAATTCTTGATGTGATAGAATTATTAGATGGAAAAATAACTTAACCAACAATATTTGGTTTGAAAGCGAATTGAAATTCTACTAGCCTATGATTTTGTCACTGTGGCATCTCAGACATTTTATAGCACACTGCCAACCAATTGCTAATTGAGTCAAAATAAATTCCCTGTTCTATTTAAAGAGCAATTTAATCAAGTTGTAACTGTCAGAAAACAGAAGACATGTTATACCAATTTATAAATTTATTATTCCTTCAATTTCCATAAAACTACCTAATTAGACAACTTCTCCCACTATGGCTCTTTTGTTATTACCATGCTGGGCGGCCATGTTGGTTTATTGGAGCTGTATTCAAAAACTAGTTGCTTGGTAACTGTGAAGACCAAATTGACAGCTGTATTGCTAAAGTTAGTAGAAGGGGTTCATTAACTCAACTAAAGCATTCAGGGTTCTTTGTTTTCATTCAGTTACCTATGAAAATCAACCAGAAATTAATCCAAAAGACTAAAGGAAATTAAATCATTTATTTTGCTGTAGGCTTGTGACATGAACTAGCTGATTTTCACAACTAGTCTCTATTCTAGTATATAGAAAAGACTGATTCACGCCATGTTATGTTCAGATTGACCTCAATAACAGGTGACAGATATCATGCACTTGTTCATTTTGAGAAATTCTATGGAATAAGCATCACACATATATTGCCTGTAATTCAGTTTTTGCATAAATTTTGTGTTGAGTAACTAAAATATGCTACAAAAATGCTGTATGAATGATGTTTATATTCAAAAGTTATAAGAATTGTACATTTTTTAATACATTTGAAATGAAGGAAAAATCTGAAGAATTATACATTCATGTCTGATCATGCCTTTATTATGACTGGATTTCATATAGTACTAAAGTAAATATTCTTATATGGGAAATAACTCCATTTATTGTTGCTTTGAATTGGAAGCATTGCAATTATAGGAATTTTCAGCACCAATATGTATATGTTGTTGATTTAAGTGATAACGAAGAACAATGTCAGCTCAACATTGGAAATATCAAAAGAAAAAATTGTAGCTCTGATATACTCAAAGAGTGATATAAATATTATATTTGCATTATTTAATGTTCATATATTTATTATCCAACTGAATTTTCTAGTTTTTCTCTTATATTTCTATATTTATTCTATTTGCACTATTATTAACTGTTGTTTTTTCTTGATATTTTTGCATGAATTAACTGACCTTCTCTTGCATGTTTAAATTCAATTTATTTTAACTTGTTGTCAACTTTTATCTGTTATTTTCCTGTTTGTCTCTATATATAAATTGTTGAGAGTTCAATTTTAGTATAGGATTAAATCATATTCAGAGCATAAGATATGTTTATATGTGTTAAATTATATTGCCACTATACATGAGTTATTGCATTTATTCAAGGTTTTTTTCAATATTTAGCCAAATTTTTGGGACCTACAGAGGAGGGGGTGACAAAGGAATTTAAATTTAAATTTGCTATTATTTTTGCACAAAATAGTTTTTTAATTTTTTGCTGCTTTTCATATTAAGCAATAATTTAATTTTGCTGCAATTTTTGTCCATTTGTTGCTTTTTATCAATTATTTTTTGGGTTCATGATTGAAAAGGGGTATGTACCAAATTAGTGCATTTTCCCAGAAACCTGCCTTGTAATTTTGACAGAAGTGAAAACTGTACCAGTCCTTGACGTTGTCCCAAAAGTTTGGCATTTGAACCTTTTTTCAAATATATTTACCTTGTTATATTTAACCATATTTCAAACCCTTCCATTTGTCCCTTCACAGGTACAGCTTTCCAACCTTTTCATATGTCACCAAACGGCAACCAGTCCAGCCCTCAAGGTGAGTTGGGTCAAGTTAATGGAAATGGTGCTATTCCAGAGCACAGAATCACCCCTCTTATTGTTGACAATTAGAGTTAAGTGAATACACTTAAATGTAATATATCATTTTAACTTCTCATGTAATGAAATGAGATGGGGTGCGACAAACATCTTGGAGGATACATGGCTACATACCCTTTTATACCTCAGTTATTTTGGCTTGGGTGCACTAGTTCTTACTTTTAAATTTGATTATTTATTTATCATGCATAGAGTAGATGCTTTTTAAATTCAATGCAGAGCATCCATTGGTCATTTATTGCACATTTCCTTTTAATAGAGAGTGGCTTCAGAATACATCATCCATCTTTTCCATTTGCACCTCGACACCCATATTGCACACCAAATAGGAAGCATTTTAACCAGAAAATTCAAATTGAACATAGTTTTGATGGTAAAAGATGGATGAAAGCTTTTGGTCACAATTTGAAATTTCTTACAGAGATGAAAATATCACCTTTAATCTTTTTCAGCCTGCAAGCGAAAAGAACAAGAACCAGATAAATCTATTGAAGATCCAAGATCCCCTAAAAAACCACGCTTGGTGTTCACAGATATACAGCGCAGAACACTTCATGCAATATTTAAGGAAACTAAACGTCCTTCAAAAGAAATGCAGACCACAATTGCACAACAACTTGGACTTGAAGTGACGACAGTCGCTAATTTCTTTATGAATGCCAGAAGGCGTTCGTTAGATAAGTGGCAAGACGACAATGGAAATAATAATCGTGAAAGTGCGTCCTCGTGTACGAAAAGTTAACCATTTTAGTGTTAAAATATCCTTTCTACGGACCTCATAACAACAAACAATATTTTTTTCATCGTCATCAAAACAAACTTGTCATCTATGATGCAAACCCCCCCAAAAGACAATTGTGGTTTATAAAATAGTGTGGGTTCTTTATACGCCCTAATTATCATATTGTATATTCAATAAGTAATTGTTATTTGTGTGTTAAATCATGATTTTTTAACTTATTTTTAAACTAACTAATGACTGGATTTGGTCATATTGAATCAGGTTATTGATGTGAAATTCTTTATCAATGACAATATCTTGGAATCTCAGAATGTTTATCAATAATCTTTATTTCTTAGTATTTATTTCTATCTTGAATATTTATTTCCAATTATTTGGTCCATGACCATTTAGTATTTAGTTATGTTAAAGGTGGAAATTGTTGATTTTATTAGTGAAGGCGAAAAATGGCACGGTGTTCAGTTTTTAACTTTATATCAAATAGTTAGACATAACCTTTTTCATTTTTTTTTAAACCGCACTATGTCCTAGATCAATGTTCTTCAAAGGTGACTATTACAGAATTAGGAATTTAGAATTATCAAAATAATTTTGGAGTCATGTCTGACTAATTGAAATCTTGTTTTTTCAATTTAAGTTGTGTTCTTTAAGAAAAGTCCATCCCGATCTCTTGTTATTTATTTTGCTAGACATATCAAACAGGACAAATTTTGTTTGTGAAATGTTACTGTGTACAATTTACTTTTTACCATTTTGAAAAAGCAGCTAGTCAGTTTTTAGTATGATATTTAATAGTATATTATTGATGTTTTGTACATAAATCTCCAATGTATATTACTATTAGATAGCATGGTCTATTCCCCAATGGAATTCTGTAACTTGTTTGGAAATTTTTTCCCAGTTTTAAACATGCAAAATATTTTGGTAACAGAAAGACAAGTTAAATACATCGGGGATTTGAACCAGTTATGTAGAAATATCAGTAAGTACAGTACTTGGCTTTTGTACAAAGTCAAATTTTACATGTATAAAAATTCGTGCAATATTTTTCACATTTATAGGAGGTTCTTGTTTTGTCTCTTTTATGACTGTGTGTGAGACTGTTTAATGTTTTTGTTGTGATTTTTTGTTTTACTTTTGTCACATTTTTCCAGTATTTCTTTTTGTTTCAAGTGCTAATTCCAACCATTTTTAGTTTTTAAGAAAGTATTCCACTATTTATTATTGTATTATTAAGGATTATGAATCTTGTTCCATTTTGTTGAACATTCCCTTTATTCTGGTCATTTATTGTTGTTTATTTTATTTATTCCAACTTTTACATTATTTATTCTATTTAAGACAAAATCGGAATTCCAAGAAATCTACATTCCATGATATATTACATTCACTATTTATTAACAGTTTTTTATATCATGATCCAATTGAAATTCAATGTTAAGAAATGAAAGTATTTTTTAAGAATTTCAATTCTGACATAAATCATGGCATTCCAAGTGAAGAAATTTATTCCAATCCATGTTAATGTTTTGAAAATGAAAACAAATTTTTTTTGTATTTGTGTAACAATTATATTGGTCAGATTCATCCAACAATCAATTTGATTAGAAACAAATATTTATTTTTAAGTAAAACATGTAGCAACCCAAGGAACTTAAGACATCTGACATTAATTTGACTCAATCCAGTTTAGCTGTCAAACTTGGTATGATTTGATTTCAAATATTGCATGTATATTGACCATATTATCTTAATTTATTATATATATGGGTAATATATATTATTTATTGTTTTAAGTTATTTATTTATTTATTGAATGTCTGAATTACTATCTATTTTTATCATGAGCTACATATTACCAAAAAATTGAAAAATTTGCCTTTGAAATATGCTTGGATCTCAGAAATGAAACTTTTTACATAAATTGATCTTTAATCATTAACCCTGCTGATGTCATATGTAAAAGATCACTTGAGAGGCAGATGGTGTACACATCGTACAGTTTTGTGGCTGATAAAGCAAGCTTTAGTGTTCAAAGGGTTAATAAGTATAAGAAAACCATAGTCAGTATGCTGAAAACTTACCAAAATTCTCCAAAAGATTTCAATATGTAGCTATGATACAAAGTCTATATTATTTAATGGTGTTTTTTCTATGGAGTTATATTGTAAAAACAACTCCAGTCCATGCAATAATTTTTCAAATATTCATCGATACAGACACTGGAGTTGCCAGAAATTTTTTCTAAAATTGTACATAAATCATAAATATATATTGTAATTCTTTCTAATGTAATCATCATCATTTGGATTCATTGTACTGTATACTGAATAGCTAGCAAATAGACACTCTACTCACATATTTTACTTAGAAACATTTATATTTTGTGTACAGACAATTGGAACTTTGTCAAGGCAGTTTTTTCATCAAGTGAACAAAACCTATGTTGAAAATATTGTATGTGCAAAATCTCTAAAACCAACCTAAATAATGTGTTTTGTTTATAGTGTTTCCATGGTGATGTCATGGACATTGTGAAGAAAGTTTTGAAAATAGACATTAAGGTATTGCTGTTAAAGATTTTTTCTGAAAATAAGAGAACGGGGAAGTTGGGAGAAGAATATTGAATACAATAGAAAGCGGTTTATAATCTCTACCAATCATGAGAATTCTACCAGGTGCTAGTTCAAATGTATACAATTCCCTTCATTTTCTCTTCCTAAAGTAAATACCTTGAACAAATGGAACTACTTTTAGAAATGAAAATATACTACAGAGAAAAATTCTGAATTTAATGAAGTTTCTAAATTTTATGGAAAATAGAGCAAATTATCCAATTAGTTTTATACATACACCAAAAAATTATTTCATTTAAAAGAGGTTTCCCACTTCAAGGCCTATTTGACATTCTACTCAAAATGTGCAATACATAGACTAGTAAGAGTTCGATCAGTGTAATGTGAAATCCAGACAATTAAATGTACATTTACTTTGGAATCCTATTTTGTGGTGCAATTATTATTTTTTTTTAATCTTATGTGAGCAGAACCATGCCCCCTTATCCTTATTGTAGTTAGTTATAAATATATATGCCATATCTATTTTCAGATATATTTTGAGCTTTTTGCTTTGTTCAGATATCTAGTCAGTCAGTCAGATATCCCAAGTTTTTGTCAGTAATATTGTCAGTTATCAGGAATAATTTTTTAGTTGTCAGATATTTGATATTAAGTGTCTGATATCCAATTAGCCTTATATGTGTATTTTTGTCAGATATCCATATATTTGTCAGCTTTATTTATTAATTTTGGGCTGACATATTATGTAAAAGTGTCATACCAAACCATAACAGCACTTTTAGCCATAGAGTCTTATTCACGGAATATGGAGGAGAAATGGTGCTTAATTATTTCGAGTTGTTCATTTGATATTCACCAAAATACAATTTTTTCAATATATCCTCAAGTGAATAAGACCCTATATTAGTAAATTTGTGTACTAATCATATATTCTGATCACAAATGTTATTATTTTGGGTAGTTTGAGGTATATATTTCATTTCAACAGATCTTATTCAAATTACAAATTGAAGAAAGTCTGTCATTAAACTGGTATATACGCCTGCACAATGATATCATGTACATTATCTTAGGTTCAGTTTCTATATTCAGCAATGACTTTCTATATTTTTAAACCATTCATTCATTGCAGCTTCGCAGTCAAAAAAATTCATTCGTCATTAGAATTCACAAAATAAGAATCTCAATTTGAAAACACGGCTCAAGATCAGAAGCTATATTGAACAAAAAAATTAAAATTGTTAAAAGTAGAAAGTCATTGCTTATGGTAGAGTGTTGTTTTGTATCAGTGTGGCGCTCACAGTCAATGATTTTATCACTCATATGCAAACAATAGATTCAGTCTGTATAAATGAAAACAATAAAACTAGGCACCAGAAAACAGTGCTCTGTAATACAACAACCATTGTTTTATTATAAATTGTTAAACATGATCTTTATCAAGTTGATCGCATGCTTCACAGCCTTCATTATTGTTTCTTTATAATGGAACATTTTATGTCAGAGACTAGTGAAATAGAAGTGTAGGCGAATTGACATTATCAGAGAAGGAATTAGTGTCCCTTGTCACCATCTGAAAGCTTGCTTACCCTTCTGAGTGTGGGTGCATTAACATCGTCGTAGCAGGAACGGTTCACAGGAGTTGGATAAGATTGGGATGGATATTTTGACAGTTGTCGACAACACAATTTGAATGTTAAAATTTGCTTTCCCTTACCAGCCTTTGATATGAGCGTTTTCAACCTGGGTGTCATTTTCGGGGGTAATGGGCGCTTTGCACAATTAATGTGCCAGTAAATGTGAAAAAGCTTTGTGTTTTGTTCCGGAAATCAATGCTAACACTACAAAATTTACTTGAAATGCTAAGAGGTAGGCTGAAAAGGAATGGACTGGCTAAATGACATGATTAGAACTTACAAGGACAGTAGATACTGTCTGCATTCTTATTCGAAGGCACAGGCTGTTCTATGTTCAATGGTAGCAAAATATAAACGTCAAAGATCTCCATGCTAACTGACATGTAAGAAGTAGGCCATCCAAAAATTGGGTGCTAAGCAAACGTCCACGAGACTCACAGGGTCTAATAAAATATCTTCAACTAGTCTTTAAATCTTATCGAATCCCTATTTATCGTGGAATTGAATTGATCACCGTAAAAGTAGACACGTTGTTTTTCATTGGCTAGAACATTTTCCCGCGTATCTGACGTCATAGTGACGTTGATTTTGAAGAAATTCTGATGAGACGTGTGTTCTTATTGGTCAAAACATAATCATCCGATGTTTGCAATAGTATAACCACGTGTATGCCTGTACGCTGCCTAGCTGTCCCCGAAGTAAGATGGTTTTCAGTATGGGTTACACGTAGGCTCACTTTTTGGAAATTTAGCACGAGGCATTGAAGGTAGGGCCTTAATGTATGTTTCTTTTTCTTAGAAAGAAGCCATTGAAAATACTCTGCAATAGTGTTCCAAAAAGTAGCCTACAACCGCTTCAGTTTCAGAGACCTGCAGTTCCAAGAGGCTTGGTACAAATCATAAAATTTAGAAAGGAAACCGAAACATAGTCGCACGAAACGTCTGCTTAACAATTCCTGTATTGCTAGGTATGCGTAACTGTCTTCGATGAAATTTTAGCTTACTCTTCGAGTCCTTTTGGTGATCAGTCGCTATTGACACGCGATCCAGGTCTATTACTTTTAAAATTTTTACAAAATTCTTGATCTTCAGGCTTCAGCCTTCCCTTTTACCTACCAGTGATATCG